ATTTCCAAGTAACACCAATACGGAGCACTGACTTCGTAAGAACAGAAAGACAAAGCGTTCCTGTTTCATCATCTCCATGGAGAGAAGCAGGAAAGCAGCATCTGGATTCTAATAAGAAAGGATGGTTTGGTTATAGCTTTTGCTATCGATTGTGAATAAACATTTTTGTATGTCATCAAAGATTCATCCTATTTTCCTCAATCGGTCTTGCATTTGTAAGAATTTACAGCATAACTCGGGACACTTCCTGTTTGTCTAAATATATGCAATGTGGGAACGCTATGACCCAACTGTTAGAAAAGAAACAATATCAACAATTAATTTTACAGAAGAGAGGCCTTTCAATTGCTTCAGGCCCTACGTTAATTTGTACTGAATGTTATTCATGCACATGTCAAGGTTGAATTCAGTTGTGTTTCTTCACCTATATGAATAATTTTAGCTAGGATGGATGGAAATTATATATATGAGCAGTATTAAGCTGTTCCAAACTCAATCTGCACTTGTATTTATTCTCTAGGTCCTACACTGCTCCTCACCTCCACCTCTTCCGTAAGCCACTGACATTGTGTCAACAATGTTTGTTTTCAAGTATTTTGACAACCCCCTAACAGTCGTGTGTTGTTCCCCCCCCCCCCCCCCCCGATATTAACACAGGTTTAATGATCATGTGGATGTAAACTAATGGAAAAATTGAGAGAGGTCACAGACACTTAAAGAAATTAAAACGATATGTTACTGACTGTATTAAGAAACAAATCTCCGTCTGCTGATTTCTGATTCTAGGTTGGGTTTACCACTGGTTGTAATCACTAGTTGTGATTCACCAGAAAGGCCTTCCACTTCTTCCCACAGCCACAAATCTGGATGAACCTATTTCATCCTCAGTTTGGCCATCACTACTACTCACACAGACATGATAAGAGAAATTGTCCCTGACAGTGGGAGATGTTCTCACTGCGCTAGCACCACATTCACACTTGCCATAAGGAGGACTTTTTCCCATTCCATAAGGAATGAGACCCCATGCTTTCCAAAAGAGATAAATACTTCTAGGCTGGGAACCACTGCTAGAGAGGACATGCAATATTTAAAAATGAAAAAAAACCAAACCTGAAACAACAAAGCAAACTGACATTAATGATGTTAAATATATATATATACTGTTATTAATGGTATCCAGGGTTATCCTAAAATAATCTACTATTCCTCTGCTTGTGCTCCTTAAGCAGATCTCATAACATTGAATTAGAGAGCAATACTATTAAGCCCGGAATAATGAAACCAAATAATTCAGTAATTGTATCAGACTGACAAGCTTATCTGCATTCCTTCCTTAACTTCCAAGTAAAAAAATATTCTTGACTTTCAAGTTGCCATATTGCAGTAGTATTTTGACTTCTCATTTCTTTTCTGTGAGCTGAGAAAAGGTAATTTTCAAGGAAATAAAAATAAATCCAACTTTTAAAAACACACGCTTCTTGATACTCTAATACTTAAAATCTGAAAATGAGACTGAAAGCAGAAAGAAAGGTGAAGAAATGGAAGGATAACAGAAATATTTTCAAGTGGAATAGTTTGTTGTCCATATAAAATGAAAATAAGGGAGAAATAAAAAAATGCTAATGAAAACTTTCCCATCCTCTTCTGAGGCAGTTGGCTGTCATTTTTTAAATGCTTCAGTGATCTAAACAGCATTTTTTTCTCTGCTCAGTGACTAGCGTATGCAAAATACAGACTCCATTTGCTGTCTTTCAAAGGCTTCAATATAAGCTATTCTGTGAATTCATGGATTTTCAGTAATACTCCTAATTACTATGTATTAAATAGGTATTAAAAAGAAATAAGGTGATATTCCTTAACAAGAAACATCTCTGTACATTCAAATAATTATACAAATTAGCGCAAACAGTTAGAGGAAGTAGACTTTTACACTTCTATAGTTACTGTCCATTTTTAAATGGAAGTCCAAGAACAATAGCCTTATGTTGCAGCATTGTATCATAACTTATGTATCTGACATTCTCATGCTTTTTGGAAAAGTAACACAGCACCTGCTAAGAGAGTTGTTCCCACCCTGCTTGGAGGAAATAGCCGAGCATTGCCTGAACAATTCACCCAAGAAGAATGTTATTAAACCATACATTTTAGAAGAACCATACATTTTAAGATGCACCTGGGCTGGCCTTGGGAAATAGTTCATAAGAAACCCCAGTTTTGCTAGCAGCTGATGTGCTTTCTACAAAGACATGATTTAGTAGGAATGCTGAGATGTTTGCACAGGGGCTCCTGCTTCACTTGGACTTGACCCTTTAGAAAATGAAGTTTCATGGGCTTCTACCTATCTCTGCGCATATCAGGACTATCTCCTTTGAAGTTAACAGATGTAAAAATCTGGGTGAATAAAGAATTAAGGCCTGCGGCTGTCATCCCTGCCCTGCTGCTTTTATTCAGGTTAGGATTTCAAACATATAATTGCAATATTTTATTTCCTGTCATTTGGGAATGTGGAAAGGGGCTGAGCTCTAACAAAAGGAAGAATAGGTGCAGACTTGCTTTGCAGAGTTGCAGCATGGTGCCCAGGCAGGTAGCATTGGCGGGTTTCCAACTGTCCTGTCACTCAGAATGACTCCCTCATCACTGCTCTAAAACTTCTTCTTTTGCTATCTCTGTCCCTCTCTTGGGTAGCAGTAATAATGGTTACATAATAGTAATAACTGTTGATCACACTGTAGTAAAAGACTTTGTGCCTTCCGAATACATGGTGATGCTTCTAAACCAGGACTGCCTCAGTGCTGACGATATTAAAGCCTATGTCTTTCCTCTATCATCTTTGTGAAGTATATGAGCCTCTCACCTTCAACTGAAAACACCATTTGTGCTAGAGTTCCTTACTCAAAGCAAGATGAATCCCACCTGGGACAGTTATATAGCTGGTCAATGGCTTAAACATCAGTCCACATCTTGGAGGTGAGCTGACAAAGGTCGTGGTTGCAGCTGATGTGTTCAATGATTTGCCAGAGGCATGTGATATGGTAGAGCCTGCTATAATAAGTAATGTGATGGAAGATTATATTATCACTAGCATGGTCTCCAGTTGAATAAGAAAACCGATTAAAAAAACAAAACCAAAACCAAAATATTCCTCTCCAAGAATGGAGTTAATGCAAAAGCTTACTTCAGAAGAAAACACTTGCACCTCTACTGCTCAACTCCCACAAATCAGTCTATGCTGGCACAGATTTATGTACACAGATGCCTTAAGCTTCACAGTCCAAATCAAGAGTATCATCTACACTGAAGCACTTTTAACATCATTGCTCTTTAGTCTCTCTCCCCCTCCTTTTTTTTAACACCTAAATCAAGGCTAAATCGCAGTTTAAAATGTAAAGAGAGCTTTTTACACTTCAGAAAGCACAATAAAAATAAAGAGCTCAGCATAACCCAGAACACCCACCATCAGCACTTGGAAGTAACCAGGGCTTTCCTCCATGTTGAGAAAACAAAACTTAAGGCTGAAGTTCAGAACACTGTGATAATTTCTAAATGGACAACCAACCCATTAACACAGTAAAATACTGAACTTATATATTAATACACACTTCTGCTACTAGAAAGATCAGCATGTGAAAAGACATTAGAGATGGTGTTACAAGAAAATTGCCAGGACACCACTACATAAACAACATGTGCATGTTTTTTGCTTATCACTGTTTATCAAGCTGCACCACAAATGACCTGCAGGCCAGGCATGCCTTAGCCAGTTACTGAGGTGGCCAGAGTGTACTTTCTATGTGGGTCCAACATTCCTAAAGTAGAATTGAAGATCATGTTTTCAGCTGAGAGAAATAGCTTCAGTTTTGCTGATACACATAAGACCCATTAGCAATTCTCACTTTGTTTTGGTGTATGGGCTTATCTGGAATTTGTGCTGCTGTAACCAAAAGCAGAATGTGGGAACTACTAGAAATCTGCTTTATCAGACTAGCTTTATTAAAATAATTAAGAAAGAAATACTTACTTGTGTCAAATAGTTTAATGAAATTTCCCACAGCCAATAGCTCTTCATAGTGCTATAAAATCTGGCTATCTCAAAATGAAATAGCTAAAGCTCTGACACTTTAATCTGTACCATCTATAGTGTCCTGTTGTGTTTTCTAACATGGAAAAAATAGTCTTTGCAATTAAGATGCATGATTAAAGTGTGTGATGTACACTGCTGTTTAGTGACAGCAGTTTAGTAATGAAGAACGTCCATGTGCTTTCACCTGTACTTGCAGATTTCCAGCTTTTCAAAGTGTATCCATACCTGAGGGATATTTATGCTTGCTACCCTTGGCACCCACTCAGTGGGGGTCTCTTTGCTGAGCATTGAGAAATGGGATACCCAAACCAGATAGTCAATAAACTCATAGCAAAAAATGCAGCAACTCTGCTGCTCTCTGAAAACAAACCATGGGAAACTACAGTGGGCTGGAGACACTCTACTAAATGATTTATGACATACAGCCCATTCATGAACGATTTTTTCTCCATTAAATGTGCATTAACACATGGGAGCCTAACACATGGAAAACCTTATCTAGCCTCAGAGAAAAAAGTTTCCTACCTTTCCATTACTTCACCTTTGACTACTCTGAGCCCATACTACTGTCTTCTAAAGAGATTGTGCTATAGTCTGCTTTAATCCTGCTGAATCCCAGATTGGGTTTTAAATACACCTTTAAAACAATCACCATACCAACACAGGGTTTATCTACTACATTCATTGCTTGCAACTCAGCAGACTATTCCTCAAAAATCTGCTTCTGTTAAACATGGCATTACACAGTGCTACCTCATTCCTATCCACGAAACTTTTAAAAATGAGGGAAAACTCCTCATCTCAGACTGCACACTACATTACAGTACCATGTTTTATTTTTTACACAAGGATAATTGTTACCCCAGATTTTGATTGATTACTATGGACCATGCAAAATGCCACAGACCACAGAAGCTATATTTTCAAACGGATGTTTTTATTTATTAATCAGGCATTGAATCAAGTAAAATAAACAGGTTTTGCTTGTTAAAAAATGTCCAGAATACCGTTCATGGCAAACTTGTTTCCTTGTAGTCATACAGAATGTGAAACTGTTCAAGAAACAAGCAAAAAAACCAAACCTGACTAATTACTGTCAGTTTGTATGTGTATATATGTATGTATCATATCCACAAATTACACACTATATTTGTGCGTATACTGGTGTGTGTGCACCCAGACATATGTGTACACATATACACAAACATATATGCACAAAGAGCACTGACTGGCTTAATAGTCCACTGGAGAAATGTAGCTTAGCCCCAAATGAGTATTCTGTGGTAAAATAAAAAGGATACAAGGCCTATAGATAACAGACCACTCTTTTTCCTCTTGCTAAAACCATGATCTGTCTTTAGACTCACGGTCTATCTTTACAATGAAAATATGTGAGATCATTTTGGATCTTTCCAAATTCATGGTATTACCTCCATCCTGCTCAGTCTCTGCCAACATTGTATGGCCAAATGTTGATTAGTGTTTTCAGTTTGTCCACTACTGAAATCAGTTTCTAGATTTAATATTTCTGGCAAAAAAAGAACACATACAGCCTTGCTACATGTACTTTGGTAATACACCCTTTCCTTTTAGGCAGAAATTTGGCAATAATCCTAGATAAAAACTCCCTTCTGCCTGCATCTTTTTATCACTGCTTTGTATCAGTTGTCGCCTGTCAACTCATTATAATTATTTCACGCCACCACAGCTACCTCCCAAAATTCCCAGGCCAGATCATCTGGGCTATGTACATCAGATTGTATCGGTAACATTGTGCTCAATTATAAAAAATAATGTTTGGGGATTTATTCATTTTTCATTTTGTGGATATACCTTTCTTGCTTACTAAAGATGCTATGATAAACGCTGCAGTTTGCTATACGTATACATAATTCCCTTATGAGTATGTCAACTCAGGAAAGATCAGTGGCTCCAACCTGTGAACACTGGGATGCTGCCCCAGCTGAAAGCCACGGTACCAGCAAATTTATGCCAGACTTTTCTCCATTTAATTCAGCAATTATCAGGACATGTAAAGGGAAAATAAAGGAGCACAGCTAGGCATTTATTTTCTATTAAAGAAAGGAAAAAAAAACAACAAATAGGCATTATGTATTCTTTGTCTTGCTCTTAAGTTTTCCATATCATTATAAGGCAAACTGTAGTACAGCTTTGTACCTGGAGAATTAGTATTTAAAAAATTTGAAGCTGGGCTTGGGACCATTTTATCTTGGACTCATTAGTGAACAAAGTGCATTAAGGCATCCTTTTTAAAAGACACCTAAAGCATGGTTATAAATTACTGAGCAAATCTTTTCTTAAAGCTGATATTCAATTTATCCTTTTTCTATACTGGCAGAATTTTAACCACTTGCATAGAAACAACAAAATACTGTAGGAAAACCATTCTTTTGAAGTTGTCATATGCCTCAAGCATCTCCCAAAAATTATCAAAAAATGATAATTTATACATAAGCATTGTAGTAATTACAAAGGGCTCCTATTCTGTAGAAGAGAAAAAAAAGCATCTGATTCATCTTTGAGATAAAGTAGGTACAACTTCTATTGCCTCCATTGAAGTTCTCCGCCAACACCGAGATGAATATAGGGCCTGCCCATGCAGATTCCTATTGCTGCTGAAAACTTGTTTTTTACTCCTCATTCACAAAGAGACCCATGCTTTCTCAAACAACTCAGGACAATGGTAACTGTGAGCAAACTCCAGCTGCAGTGTTTCTCCATACAGCACATGCAGAACAGATTTCCTTGCTTTGTTATAGAGACTACATAATGTGCGACAATGAAACATTTGTGTTTAATTTAAAATCAATGGAAAAGTGGTGCATGTCTCACTTCCGAGTTGTTGGCTGGGCTTGCTATGTTGAACCTTGTAAAATCAGCAATAAGCATTCACATGTCTACCATCAGAACTGTGACATCTTCTATTACAATCAATCCTTAAATGATGCTGTGCTTTATCAAATTAGTCTACAGTCAGACCTTGGATTGGCTGCTCTCCTCCAGTGTTGCTAATTCTCAGAGATGGTATCAGTCTTTCACATCCTCAGCAATTCCACAATGTTTCCTAAAAACGAAAACGAACCACTGGTAGATGGGAATGTTGCCATCAATGAAATAAATCACGATATGATTTATCCACTCACATTTCTAGGAGATATTCCACATGTTTTATATGAACAGAGAGAGCACTGCCCTGTGAACAGAAGTAAATTATTCTTTCGCTGTGCTGTCTAGCTCCATTTCCTCACTGGTTTTCTTTTTTTGTTGTTGTTGTTCTTCTTTTTGGTCTGCACACTCCCATGTGCAAATCAGAAACTTAGATCTTGCACTCAATAAGACTGGTAATGAGAGAGATAATATTGACATGAGTAAAACCTGCAGCATACTGACTTGTCCACTGCACAGTTTTAATCCTTCCAATTTCTTGCTTTTATCCACTGTAAAATAAAAGGATGTAAAGGGCCGATGAAACTTCAATCAACAGGACCATCAATGTGCAAAACAAATGAGCCATTTTCCAGGTGTCCAAGCCAGGCTTTCCCTTGCCTCTCTTCTCTTTTTTTTTTTTTTTTTTTATAAATAATTTATAAATCTTCCTGTAAGAGACTAAATACAAAACAAACCAAACAAAACCAACTTCAAAAGAAAGTTCTAAGATTAAATCCACTCCTTATCCTTCCATACAAAGTACACAGTAAAGAGATATTCTTCCTTTTTCAGTTCTGGCCTGATTTGGCAGTGGCGGCAGGAGGCCACCATGGTCTGTCAGCTCCAGGCAAGCTCCTGCAGCTGTCTGGCCACCCTGGGAAGATACATCATCCTATCATTTGGCTTTTAGCAGTCATGCAAGCTGCTCAGAGGAGTCTAGGTGGTCAGGGATAGGCAAGCCAGTTATAATGGTCAAACATTTGTTCCACACAGTAAATGTGGGGCATACTGGTTGCCCAAACGTAATGTCAAAAGTGTAAAGGTGTAGGGAGTTCAAAGCATCATAAAAAGCAAGGGAACCATTGTCATAGTCCAGCAAAATCCCAACCCGCCGGAGGTGAGGTGCAGGTTCGATGGGGATTTCTTTGCTGTTGTGCCGTACCACCCATGTGTTATTGCAGCGGCAAAGCACCCAGGAGGCAGAATTCTTCCCGATCCACTCATGCTTTGGTGCTGACTTGTAGGAAATACCAATGGCATACCTGAAAAACAGAAAACAACTCAAGGAAACATATGCCTCCTGCCATGTTTGTCTCTTGGTGAAGTAAAATGTTAGCCCAGAGGACTCACTGAAATGTCCCAGCCTCTTACTTCTGCTGGTTAAGTTCTTATTAAGTAACGTTTCACCATAGTATCTGCACAGGCTCTATTAAAGTTTCGCCCCATCTGTCTTTCAGGTCTGAGTGGTCAGGGAAACTTTATTGTCCCTTGTATTATTTACAGTTTAGCTACTATGGCAATTTTTTTGAGCACTTGCCTCTGGTATTTAAAGGGAAGATTATTGAGTACTCAGCAACTCAGGGTTTAAATCACTGGGCCTCAAATTTCCACTTCCAAACAGATGAATACAGAGGAATTCATTGATTTTAAAATACACTGCTATCTGTCAGTTAATCTGATCTCTCCTTGCTCCTTTAATATATAGCCCAGAAGAAGGAATGTGGAGTAAACATCAAAGGACACATTAAAAAAAACATTTTTACCATTCCCAAATATGTTTTGCCAGATGTTGGTGTGGTTTTTAGATTCAAATGAGCATTTTTGAGACTGGGTTTTGGGCCAACTGAAGCAATTGTAGGTGAAGACATTTGCTCTGCAAATCATAATTTATGGCAAGATGTGCAGGGCAAAAGGATTGTGAAAATGTTCTCATTAATGGACACTGAGAGCAAATACTTGATTCCTTATATATATATAAAACTGAAATTTAAAAGTTCCTCACGTTCTAGAGACACTGCAGTATTTGCTGGGCTTTCAATCAACAGAGATTACTGTGCCATAAGTTACTCTATTTCCATTCCTTCACATTGGCACAGGCAAAACACATTTTTCTTGTTTGAGACAGTGGGCATACCGAAAGACCTTAGTGATTTTTCCATTCCATTAACCTCCATCATGATTGTTGCCTTTGAATCCCAAGGAATGACATCTCTTCCACTGACTAAAAGGCCCCTGAAATCCACCTTTGTATGACACAGAGGATCATTCAGGAGTGGAGGAAGGCACTCCTCCATTTCCTGCCCCTTGTTTCATACCCTGGGGCACAGACCTACAGCTCTGCTTCTCTGCATCCCCTCCACAGAAGCAAATCTGAGCTCTACCCCTGTGAAACTAGATCATCAAATTGTCCTTATATTATTTGTTTTTTCCTTACTGAAGGACGCTAAGATCTTTCACATTTAGTAAAGAAATGACCACACTTACAAAGTTTGCTTTGTTGTTTAAACAAGATGAAACTTTCCGAGTTCCCAATTCACTAAAATCTTAAAATGTACTTTATGTGGGTCCAAAAACCAGCCTTCCCCAGCCATGGAGTAAAAGTCCTGTGAAGGCTGCTAAACATAAAGATCTGGCAGATTTCTTTCCAGAGTACGAAAATGCTGGAGACTGAGAAAATATTCTAGCAAACTATATGAAAGAATATGCCTGTCCTACTCTTGTACTGTTCCTCATGCCTCTGCTACCACTGTCTATCAGAGAAACTGCATCACGACCTGTATGGTGTGAACTAGACATTAATTTCACATATATTTTCTATACACGTACCATGTACTCCCACTTATAACCACTTCCCAGTAATGCCGTCCGCTGTCAATGAACACATTGCCAGCTACTCCATAGCTCCCTTGGCTCGTGAATCGCTCTGGTGTGTGACTCTTTTTGGAGGATGTTTCATCACGTTCCACTGTCAAATTATCATGAGACACCTTCAGTTTTCTATGAGCCGATTTGGGGTCCAGTTTAAATGGCTGACCTGGAGACGCAGAGACAAAGATGGCAGAAGAATGGTTTGGCTTTGATTTTGGAAAGGAGAGTGGATTAGCAAGCCTCTAAGAAGCCCACAAGATTACATTATTAATCTTCTCCTCCTCCTCTGAAGTGTTCTTGAGATGGACTAACCTATTCTGCTCCCTGCAATAGCTACTTTGCATTGTCAGTTTACTGTCAGTCTCATTGTGCGCTAACTTCCCCGTGTCGATAATCCCTGCAAAGAGCCCCACATAATCATCGCGCCTATTATCTCTGACCTAGAAGTAACCTGAATACTCTGATTCTTGCCTGTAATTGAAACCAATGTACATGCTAATAAAGGTCTGAGGGTTGCTTTTTTCACAGCGTATTAGATTTAGAATAAATTGTGTTCCATTAATTCTCTAGGGATAAAGCTCCATAATAACATCTTCATCATTGCTACAAAAGCATGATTTCAACTCTCACAAAATGAGTTGGAAAACAAGAAGCAGCACAGGCCTTGTCTGTTTGTTGACTCACAGCTTTATTTATGACAAACGCAGTCAACAATTCAGGATCACTTTGGAAGTATGTCCATGTTGTGCTGGATATTGTGCATTAAAAAGAAGGAAGTGAACTTGGTCCAAATAATATAGTGTAAAAACATTACTGAGGCTGTTACTCTTGGCAAGTATATTCGGCTGCAGCATGAGGTTTGTAGACAATAACAGGAAGCTTTTTGGTAAACCGAACCCTGCAGATATATAAAGCCTGCCACAATTCTGACAGGCTGGCTCATTGTGTCAAAAAGCAAAATGATCATTTACTTCCAGTGGGAGACAACTAGGAAAGTATGACTCCACAAGTGGTCCAGCAAAGCTCTTTTTCCCTTCTTACTGTCTTTTATACCAAGGGGAAAAAAATGTAAGCAAAAGATTTGATGACATGCACAGAAAATATAAATGAGTGCTTACAAGATCTGTGTGAGGCACTGACGTGTACTTCAAATAAGACAGAAATTGTTCAGAGTTATCTATTTTTGCAATGTGTATTTAGTTAGGTATTATGATCAAGTCTAAAATAAACTCACTGGAAAATATCAGGGCACATTTTTCCTGCTTTTTCTTACCACTTGCTAGCAAGAAAATACCTACAGCCTGCCTCTCTATGGGATTAGGAGCCTCTGTGTTGCTGAAGCAGTGTCTGAAGGATGTCTTTTTCTGTACTGGATTGTATCTGGCCACATCATTTCTCACAGTCACCTGAGAAATTGCTTTTGTGCCACACTGGGTCACAAATTGACAAAAGGATAAAAGACTGCCATTTCTGTATGGCTCCTCTAGTTATGTATCTGCTTGTAGGTTACCAAGTTTAACAATACTCAGATTCTTGGTAACAGATGTGAAGTTTGCATGAGCAGCTTTTACACAGCAGTGCAAGCGAGGTTAATAGCAGTGAGGAGAAAGCCAGAAATGTGTATATGTCATTCCCTGCATCCTCTTTCTTGTAACGTTCAGTATCACCTCTCTTTGAGCACCCTCCCCTACAATAAGCAGGTTTCAGAGGGCGCACAAATCCCAGTGTTCCCTTTGCAGTGCTCAGCGCTGTCCATGATGACTTCATGACTGAGCGGTTGGCTGTGGCACACAAAGAAAAAGGCTGAAAACCAGTCTTAAAATTGCTATGCTACATCTGCTGATAATTTGTGTAACCATTGTATTTTTGAAGTGGGATCTCTGATTACTCTACCACATCGCTGAACTCCATAAAAATTGAAGGGGATGGAGTTATGAAGTTTTCCATTATCCCAAGAAAGAGATCATTTTGGAGGATAAAATTAAACTAGCAATTATCTTATGAACACTATACAAAAATATAATGTTTAACTGCAAACATAAGAAAAACTTTTGCTTTGCAGAGGAAAAAGAATAGAGAAGACATTAAAACAAAACCACAAAAGAGTATTTTCAATCATTTCACATGTGATGGCTCTGTTCCTAAATGATATTACCAGTGACCAAGCTACAGATGTTTCTCTCTCAAAAAAAAGTAATTTCTGCACTTCTGAAGACTCTGTTAATCTTGAATCGAGTTAAATAAGTGGCTTTCATTGTGGGAAGCACTTTAAATAAGTTTAACTGCTCTGTGCTCTTGTATCTTCCAAAGATCAAACCCAGAAAGGAAGGCAAGAAAGGAGAAGTAAGCGTGCATACTGGATCTCACGTTACTCACTGTTTGTCTTGAGCTTGCCGGGCTCGCTGCTTCTGCTGCCTGCCTGATTAATGGCCTTAACAATGAAGATGTACTTAGTGCCACTCTGTAACCCATGCACAGTGTAGTGGTTTTGTTTGATATTGGGAACAATCATCCAGCTGTCGGCTGAGTTGCATAAACCTGCAATTTCAAACAGAGCACATCAGTCATAACATACTAAGCACTTTGCAACAGAGGAACATTAGAGCACTCCTAAGCACCCAACAATGGATATGAATTTTGCTTCTCTACCTTTTAAAGTGCTGTTACATTTACTAAGTTGCTACTTAATGCCACTAACTCATTTCATCAGCCCTCAGCCTAGGTAGCTTTTAAGTTCTTACTGTGTGAAGTCAACCATGAAAAATGGGCATTTAAGAAATGACTCAGTGGAGGCATGAACAGTCTGAGATTTTTCATACCCTAGCACAAGGAATTCTTTATTGCTTAAGAAGCAGAGGATTATGGAGATCCCATCAATCTACTGTTTGGATTAATGAGTTCAGTTTAAGCTCAGAAAACTAACGTAAGCAGTGAAGCTAGGAGGGCTGTGGAGGCACCTTTGCCAAGACCCCAGGTATGCATTCTTCAGGACCTGAAGCAAATCATGGGAGGCCATACAGGGTGGAACACGGGCTTCAGAGCAAGCTTTGGCTTTTACACTCCAGACTTTGCCAGAATGCAATCTAAAACAGTAAACTTAATGGATGCAACTTTTTTATTTATATCCTCATGGTTAGATGTCACCTAGGGAAGAGCTGGATAATTTTCCAGTTACAGAATTTTGGGGGTACATTTGATGCATACCACTGAAGCATATACTTAGGAAGTAAGTAAAATAAGGGAAGAGCAATAACATCTTCAAAATAGGAAAATACTCCAATAAGATGAACTTATCTCTAAATTTTTCCTACTGTGATATAATTGCAATGGCAGTCAATCACCCATGTTACTTACTGTACTTTTTGAACAGCTCCTGGTCTAATGGATTCCCAGTCTGATAGCTCTCTTATTGTAAATGTTTACATAAATAACAAATTAAACATTAATGAAATGTGTATATGTTCACAACCTCTTATGCAGTTATGCAGCCAGAAAAAGACACATGCAGACAGAAGTGTATGCATGTATGTGAATATGTAAGGCTGGAAAACTTCAAAAGAAAAATGTTTGACTGGATTAGGAACCTGACAGACTTCTTGGTCTCTGCCTTTACTGAGCATAGAACATGTTAGGAAAGCTGCTGTGTTATTAAAAAACAGCTTTAAGCTTTTAACTCATGTTTTACCATCAAACCAGTAGGTACTAGTGAACAGAATCCTTTAGAAGTCAATAGTAATTTCAGCTCTGTGTATTAGGCAATATATGAAGCAAAAAATAAATAGGCTATTGAACAAAAAACTTCAAAGAAAAAGACTTGTGATCCAGGTTTACAGACTCATAGACAATTCATAAGCATACTGGAAGGTTCCTTTCTAATTTGGGATGTGCTTTTCATAACAAAAGATCATTAGGCACAGAACTCAACCCCAAATTTCAAACTAAGAATTATGTTGTTTTTGCCTCAAAGTTCTCTTATGTATACATAGCATCCTTGAGAGGCAGGCAGCTATTCATCCTGCTGTGCAAATGGGTAACTGAGGCATAGTTTCAGGCAGGGCTCGTATTACCTTGTCATCTAATAGAGCTTCAACGCCTAACCTATTTTCTGGACTCTGAGGAGAGGCAGAAACCAGTGAGTACCTTCTTTCACTTCTCCAGTTGCCAACATCCTACCCCATAAGTGCCTCTCTTTTACCGGACGCATAATAAGCCCAGGTGAGTAGTGTAGGTGAGATCTCTAACTTCAGGTATTTAAAATGAGGTGAGATGAACACCACCACCACCCAATTTGAAGTCTGGAAGTCGAAACCTGTGGCTGAACTCACGTGTGGGTTGTGACCTTTGGACCACAATTTACCAGAATGAGAATATTTCACTGTTCAATTTCCTGGTGTAAAGTGGGAAAAATGAATTCTAGTATGCTCTTAATGCTCCAAACAGAAAGCATCCTCACCACATGTAGCCTCCCTAAATATCAGCTACAAGGTATTCAAACAGTTTGCTATATATGGATAAAAGCTGCAAAGAAAAGCAACCTTGCAGCACTGCTTTTCTCAAGAATATTGAAGAAATAGATCACATAGAGCAAACACCTGTCTACCTCCTGAAAAAAACCAAAACTCAGCGTTATCTCTCCTCCCGCACCTGTGGATTTATACATAGAATCACATACCCAGTACTCACTAGTCTGTAAATACTTACATAAGAGTAAATTACTGTATTATTAAATAATCTCTCTGATGGTTAATTTATATTTCTGTGCACAGAAGGCAGATTCATAATCATTTTAGGTATTGCTACATATTGGCTTCTGCTGCCAAGACTACCAGTGTACAATGAATGCTGGGATGTGCATGACCTGGTTACTCTGCTCAACAAACCTTACTGTCCGAACAAGCTCAGCTCTTGCCTATGCACCAGTGGTGCATCCACGTGCTTTCTGACTGTAAGCTATTTGATAACAGCCTTTAAATGGAACTTTGATTCAAAAATCTTGGGAACGACTTTTGAATGAGTCAAACAACAAGTCCAAAATCCTTTAAAACAGAGAACAGTAACATAGTGGCAGCCAAGTTAAGCTTTTAGGTATGTCACTGCATCAAAAGAATTTGTCTCCAGTTACGCCTTGCCAGGACAGCCTTTCTTTTCTGAATGCAAAAGAAGACAATTAAGAAAGTTTATGGAAATGAGCAAGCAGCCTGGCAACACGGGCATCTGGGGACAGAATTTGACCCTCAGTTCCCTGCTGGTGGCAGGAGGTTAAATAGAAAAGTATACATCATCTCCTCACTGGCACAGCAGCAGGCGCTAAGGGTCTCCTATTGTACCCACTCCTAATCCAGGCTAAATTCAGGTTTCTTTTTTCAAAAACCCAGGGCTTTTTACAGGGTTATGCAGGTGGTAAAACAATGTCTTTTAAAACTGTAGCCTACAAAAATGCAGAGAATTTAAATTACATCCTGGAATGGTGCAGTGAGCACAGTGATGCCCTTACAGGATGTGTGAGTTTTCAAAACAAGTTTCTCAAGAGTCTGGAGGCAATAATTTGTAACACCATTTCCCTGGTGTTGGCTCTTGATGTACTTTAAAAAACAGATGGGGAAAATCCCAAGGTGTAAATCCTCCTAAAATTTACACTGGTAGATTTTAATAAAATACATCTTCTTGAAAATTGTAAAAGGAGGAGAAAAGTCACAGGAAGGTTATTTAATCATTTGAGTATTTTAATTATTTTTAAATGCTTTCTAAATAAATTATTACCAACTGAAACTGGGAGAACAGATAGCTTTCCACCCCTACTCTGCATTCCCACATGCAAGAAAACAATATATGGAGGATTCCTGTAAAAAATATCACCTTATTTTATTTTTGGGGTGTGTGTGTGTGTGTGTGTAAGAAATGCACTCTATACTTCCAGATACAGACAAAAGCTAGAACATTCAGAAATTAATTAGTGAATAATAAATTAACTGTTTTTCCTGGAAGCTTGGGCTCCTAACTGTCTTAGTTCCTTCAACAAAATGTTATCTTACATGAAGAGTAACCTTATCATGTAACACTTCCAAGGTTCTGACAATGCACTGTATCCTTAATACCGTGACTTTTAATATTTATCCGATGTAACTAACAAACCTAATTTACCAGGAAAGAATTAGTTACTGCTCTTTGTCTTGAAGAGACATGTGTTTTTCTTGAAGACATCTTGCATCACAGTAAAACACTGGGTGTTTAAAATTTATCCTTCCTGAAGCACACTAAAGCAAAAATGATGTTAAAAAAATGCATGCTCAACGAATACTTGAAAATCTATTGAAATGGGATAATGAAATTATAATGCATGTTAGCTAGATAGTGACAAAGTCATTTTAAAAGCCTTTACAATTTTCAGATTGTAGGTGATTAGCTGCCTCTCAGAAATGCAAATGTGAGAATGGCATAACTCTGAGAACCACTGCTTTAGTAAAAGCCTGCTTAATTTAATGTCCTATATTGCTCTTATGCACAGAACAGGGCTGCCAAGCACTATAGCCAAGCAGTTTGGACACATTTGGAAATAATCTTTCCTGTATGAAATAGGATTCAAAATGAAGTACTCTATTTGGATCTTTTCCATCAAATGTTGACCCTCCGATTTTTCAGTTAATAAAAAAGAATATAGTTGATTATGTTGGATAGAAAATACACTAGAAAAACATAGCATTGCTTGTTTTTGTTACTGAATTCTTAGCAATCTCTGAATGATATATGCCCCTGGTGGGAGAAATGTACTGAGAAGTGGAAAGTGCAGTCAGGCTGGCTATGTGGTTTTAAGAAAAGATTCCAAAATAACAGCCTCCATTAGCACGGTAGGTGGGTATGTATGCAAAGTGATTCCTATTGTCTCAGGGGAAAAAGGCTTGTTGGTTTAATGCAGTACTCCAGCTACTCCCTTGTGGCTAATTCACAGCTATAAAAACACAGAACTGAAGACACTCTATGAACCTGTTTACATTATCTGCTACAGGCAACACACAATACTAATGGAAAATTTTGGAGATACGACAGAGGAATAAATAAATTTAAAAAATAATTGTATGCAACAGCATGCAAATGACATAAATCAAAAGAAATTTCTGCTAATCCAAAATCTATTCCATTAAAACAGGATTAAAAAAATATAAAATATCACCTAGCACCAGTTCATGATGCCATGAAGGCTGCAGTTCAGCGCCTGCTAATGCCACTTACAGTGGAAATAACTCTCCATGTTCAACCACACTACTACAGTACACTCCAATGTTCTAGGCTAAATCTTGTAATTTATGAAAGTTGGGATATTAGACCCTTCTGCAGGACAAAAAGTATAATCCAACAATGCAAAGAAATACCCAAGCAGGGTTCTGAGCAAAATCAGGACATTAGTGGGCAAATTTCCAGTACCAGCGGAAGTTGGAATGAACTGGAAGAGTCTCATGCGTTAGAAACCTGGGCAGATCTGTAACAGATTTGGCAGGAACATCTCAATTGGAGGTGTTCAAGTCTACATTAAATAATGAGATTAAAAAAAAAGCTTTGCAACATTTATAAAACACTTCCACATACATGTAACAATGTACAGAATTTGGGTTAATATTGTAACTTTCAATGAAATTGAAACTAACAGCCAGGATATTTGTGTAAGAGTTGTACATTAAGAAAGAGAGAGAGAAGCAAAGAAAAAGGGCCAGTTCTTTCATTTCTTCCTACTGTGACTTAAGGTCTTCAGAGCATTTTGTAAACAAAGTTTCTTACAGCGTTAATTTGTTCTCTCTTTAAATTTTAATGACACAATTTCTGCAAAGCAGTAAAATGAAAGTTCAGACTTCACACCGAGGACTTCACACTATACCCAAAAATTACCATCTTGCATCTCTGAAAGTAGACTAATTGATACACGTTTTGCAGATCAAAGCTTTCACCTCCACATGGGAAGCCTGCAATACAGCCTAAAAATGAATACCTTGTTATTTATTCACTAGTAAGCAAAGAGTAAAACCTGACATCACAGAGGTGTGGAAATGGCACAACTTTCTGCTGCTGTGTTCACACATAGTGCCAGTAACTGACTTGCATAAAATCTTCTAGCATAAAGCCATAGATAAAAATGGTTAGAAAACAAGCAATGAACTATGTTGTCATTAAGTCCTGCCTGCTTAGTAGTAATTAATCAGAGAAGCATTTCCTTTCTTATCTACTTTGCTTCAACTTTCAAATTATTACTAGATCTTTTATGTTATCCAGCTTGCTCAGATGTAGGATCATGTGTTGAAGTTTATTTCATCTTTCCAGCAGTCTAACTTTTGCAGTGTTTAAAATCAGGTTGTTTAGCAAAATACTAAATGGAGGTTTTGGCAAAACACTAATCAAATTTTCAATAGTTCACGTTATTTTTTAGTCAATCCTGAATACCACATTATATTCACAGTACGCTACTTAAAAATGGTGTTAAAATGCCAGCACATGAATCTTCAGATGGCCTTTCAGATGGCTTGGAAAAATAACTCCAGTTTAGTGACAAAATGAGGTGCATGCAGCAACAAAGGTGTCAGTGCAAAAGTTTGGTTCATTACTGAAATCGACATATATCATACATTTTTCTATAAAGCATGTAAACATGTCCGCAGCACTGACTTTCATCAAAGTATCTCAATGAATTTTGTAAGAAGAAAAACATTTCTGCACTGGATCAGAACTAAGACTGTCTAGCTCAGTGAGTGGCTGGGGTATCTGGAGGCGGACAAAGGAAGAGTGTAGGAAGGTGTTAAGGAACTAGAAAAGCACACAGCCATCATTTCTCACCATGATCTGGCAGACTTCAATAGCTCACAGCTCTGGTACTTCCTGAGCCAGAAGGAAGTCTCTGCACTGCATTGTTCTAAGTGGATTTCTCTTGTGTGATCTGTCTAGTCATCTCTTGAACTGAGACCCACAACCCTCTGTGGCAATGAGTTTTTGTTTATTCGGAATTTAAAAGCACATTGACTGAACAAACTCCACCTTTTGATTGATTTGGTTTGTTTCAGGATCCTTGTTTCATAAAGCAAATATGTGTTAGCTAGTGGTATTCCCATTAAACATACAGGGAACAGGAAGAAGTTAAATGACTTTTCCAAATTCATAATCAATGATCGCTATGCACTGAACCCAGAAATGCTGACTTCCTGGCCAAAGATTAGAAAGTATTTTTTCCTCGGAGGAGCAGCTATTTAACAACAAAAGAATCCAAGGAATAATCAGCAAGTTTGTTCATTAAGGAAAGCCACCGATTCAAAACGGGAAGTGCATTTAATAAAAAATGTGCTTCAATGCAAATATAAAGCAATGATTATTCATGTAATTACAAGTCGAACAAAGTTATCATATTAATTGTTGTTCCACTGAAGTTTGCTGCCTTAGAGTATACTGATACCAGTGCTTCGTAGCCTCGAAGTCCGTAAAAATCAGAGGGAAGGACTTAAGCTGTACTTGTGACAAAGGTCCAAGTGTCAAGGTTATCTAAATGACAATGGGGCTGCAGTTCTGACTAATGACCGGTTCAACACAGGCTCCCGAGTGCCTGACTTGCCCAAAGGAACTGAGGTCTTTGTCCCTGCTACATCTGCAAACAGGGACCTAGGACACAAGAGACAAGTCCTGTTGACACGTACAGTACTTGGGCTTTTGGGAACATGTGCTGGTTTCAGTCTTCGAAAGCTCCCACAACGCAGCACTTCCAGAAAAGGCACAAGAAATCTTAACTGGATTAATCCTAAATTTGAAAACCTTTTGAAAATATTATTGGTTTGAATTTAAAATTTTGTCATTAAATCTTCCCAGAAAATATTTTTTTCATTTTGTCCTTGACATACATTTAAAGGCGCTTGCTTTAGAGAGAAACAAAAAGGAAACAGAACTAGAAAACAGATGTTTATACTTACTAACAACATTAGCTTGTCCAGTGAAGATGGTGTACTGCAGCTCATAAGAGACCACGCTGAACTCATCATCTGATGTCCAGTGGACAGTAATAGTATCATAAGAAGCTGTACAGAGCTCTTCTCGAATTGTGGGTGGGTTGGGAGCTGTGAGATACAACAGAGGAGACTTACTGACACAATCTGTAAAATATTTATGTTCTCACTTGAGATTAGGGGATGCATCTGATGTATGAGTTTGTAGCTATGGCATCCAACAGAATTTTCAAAACCTTTTTGCTTATTCCAGTAGCAACTTTGGTTATTAAGAAATTGTAGCAAAGCAATTTTTACTATCAATATAGCCACATAGGAACTTCAGATTTTGGAAATGTTTTCTATTAAAGTAGCTTTAGTTTTTAGATGCTGTAGCACAAGTGATGTTTGTGGTCACATTAAGCTGTGATCAAATGGGTACAACTGACATACTACTATTTCTAGGATTGTTCTGACTACGATACCAAAACTATCAAAGTTTCATTGATGCATATGTCAAGAGGGAGAGTCAACACTCTTCACTGTTGACTTGAAAGCAGTGTTTGCCTACCCTGTCTTATCAGAGAGTAGTATAAACGGTATTTGGAAAATAGAATTTTGGGGAAGTTTCCAAACACTCATGCCTTCATGCTCAAACATCTCCTCTCTACAAGTTCATTTTTATTTATTTATTATTTTGTACCTATTCTTTCTGATACAGATGCATAAAATCCTGTTGACTTTACAATTCAATTTTTTTCAGCCTTACATAAAGAGTTCTTATCATAACATCATGACTGTAGGACTATTACAACCTTATCTTCAATGTCATTGCTGATCAGTTAAATAATTTTAGAAAACAATCCAAACACTTTAATTAAAAGTTAACCCCCTGGTGTTTTGTTTTTTGTTTGTTTGTTTGTTTTTTAATCAAGAAGTAAGATCCTTGGGTAGCAAGCTGTACATTCTTCTCCCATATTAATACGTAGGTTTGTTTTAAAGACCTATTTAAAGAAGTGAAGCCTGAGGCAAACTTCTTAGGCCTAAATTTTCCCTGTTTGCATTCCTTACAAAGCCACACACCTAAATAAGAAATGAATGAGTTTTTCTTTGAATGACTGGTGAGCCTTCCTGCATGCTTGGTTTGGAGGGAGCTTCATTCCTAATTATCTTCCCTATGTGCCACCATAATGAAAAAAAAAAAAAAATTAAAATCCTTGTGCCTAATAGTATTCCTCCCAGCTGTCACAGAGTGAGGAAAGAGTGCACTCAAGCTGAAACAACCAAAATATGCCTGTATTAAGCAAAATGGAAGGCTACTTTGAATTGTATGTTTGCTGCCGGTACTTTAACTTCTGTGAGTCACAAAGAATTGTCTCAAAAACAGCCCCTATGAAGGAATTCTACCTGTACTTCCGCAACATCATATTTTTGTGAAGCATCTATTTTACTTTCCATTAAGAATTTTTATAGCTCATGTGCCTGGTTTACTGATGTATGTTCCCAAGGATTCAAGTGCAGATGCATTTCCAAGCAGCCTCTCTCAACCAAGGGGCATAAGGAAATGTTCAAATGTGTTTCATGATATGGCCATGATTTGTGATGCTCTAAATATTGTAGCACAGAATGTTATCCATGTTTTTTGTTGTTTTTTTTTTAGTGAGGCAGAGAACTCCTTGGGACAGATGGGTATTAATAAAGAGAGAGAGAGAAATGAACTGAAATAAGAAGAGTTATCCAGGAGGGGAATATAAACAAAAGGAGAAAAAAACCCCACAATCTTCAGGAAAGATTAATGCTGGAGCTTAGAGGCTGTGTTCTAACTGAGACCAACAAAATGTTCTGAGAGCTATGCAGCACTGCATTGGTCCTATCAGCTATGTTTCAAATACGTACCCAGCAGAACAATCACTGGAGCTTCTGCCCCATCCCCTGCCCAAGCTGAGGCTTCATTTTTGTATTTTGCCTGTCCTTTGAAGGCAAAAAAAAAAAGGGGGGGGGGAAATTGCTAATGTACAAGTGAATGCATTTTTCTGTGTGCTAGTGTCCAACTAGTCTTCAGTCACCTCTTGCACCTAACAGAGCAAAACCTTTTACCTGAGAAATGTACTTGTTTTTACTACAACACAGATAATAAATATTAATTTATGGAAAGCAACAATTACTGAAAGTTTAATGAACTGTAAACTGCATTTCAATAGCACGTATGTGTCTTCAGCTCTTTGGAAAATGACAGCCTAAGTTCTTTCTTCATAGGTACACCTGTCTGGCCTTATGGCTGGAGATTTACAGACCTTCATGTAATGACAGAAGAAAAAGATATTTGACCTAAGCAGGATGTCTTTTCACTTGTTTTTGTGATTAACACACACCCACCTAAGACTACACTGCATGAAAAACAGCTCTTTGGCAGCACCCCTTTCATAAACCACTCAGAATAAACCAAAATACACCTGCTTCTCCTGCAGACAGGCAGGAAAGTTAACATATGAATATTTTATTATGACTTTCAAAATAATATATACGTCTGACTACCAAATTCATCCTTCCACAGCACATGCACCTTTGGAGAGAGCAAAACTGTAATGCAATTAAAGAGATTGACCTTAATCGGTTATCTTCATTATTTCATTTGATAGGGTGTGATCTGCTTATCAGATTTACTAGCGCTGATTTACAGAGCTCAGGTGCCACAGGGAAAGCTCTACAGAGCCTCCAAAGCCATGCCAAGGCCGCACCAGCAACTTCACCAGCGTGGCCTTGACTCGTGTGTGCTCCACCACTGCCTGGGAAGGGGAAGCCCAGCATGCTACCAGCACAGCAATGGAATACAGGAAGCCTTATATCTACCATTCAGTCTTGTTTCCTGGTGGAGAAGCAGTGACTGCCCCTGAGCCTTTCCAGTCCATTTCAGGGTGACAACAGAGCACTGAGCCCTAAACAAGACTGAAATTTGACAACAGAAGCTGTCAATAATCTCAGTTATTGGCAGCCTCCTGTCTACAGACTCCTACTCAGTGTCTGGGAGAGCTGAAAAAAGTGAAGCAGCTCTTGAAAACTCCAAATTTACAGCACTCTATGGTGAGGGAATCAGTGCTAGCAGACTTAGCAAGGCACAATGAAAGTGGTTTAATGAATTGCTTCCTAACATCTATAAATCTCATTGGTCACGGGGTGACAGTCTCTGTAGAGGATCAGGGCAAGTATCTGAGACTGGTGAATACTTCAGTCAGTCTTACTTTCATCCACTTGTATTCATGAATCAACACTGTTACAAGAGAGAAAATCATTGCCAAAGGCTGTTTCAGTTCGTTTGTATGACTTTGACTCAAAACTTCACAGGCACACTTAAGAAGTCAGAAACCACATATGAAGTGCCTGAAAGGCAGCAGTTAATATCTGAAAAGCAGTTTTTAAAATTTGCTCCCAGCATTAACTGACCTTGTGAGCATACCTCTCCCTTTCAATCAGGTCAGTCTAACCCTCCTTTCAGTGTCATCTGCATGACTTTTGCTCTAAAGCAGACACATGGTCTGTATGCCTGAGACACAGTTTAGGGAAGCTGCAGTCTCTGACTGGTGAATCCCAGCATGAATCCAGCAGCTCCTCCGTGGCTATTGAGACTACATCTACATCCTCTCATCGCAGGGTCACAAAGATTGATTAAAACCACCTTAATTTTGTTTTGTTTGCTCAGTCTCCCTCTCCCTGCTGTCATGGGGTGATTGACTTGGTAAGGGCTCCTTATGGTTTTTGAAACTGAGCGAAAAAGGAAGATCTAAGCCATCTTCTTGCTGGTATAAACATGAGGGAGTTCAGCAAACTGCTCTGAACTTCTCTCAGCTGTTCATTACTGGCTCCACACTGGACTGAACCAGCATGCAGGAATTTGAAAGGCACAGTTACATCAGATGTGTATACACATTTGGTGTATTAGTAACATGTCATGCATGAGTTGGCACTTGACAGCTCAGTCATGCAAACATCTGTACATAGGTTTTGGGTAGACCAGAACTGTTCAAGAAGAACAGAATGAGAAGAGATTATACCCAAAGCATGAGACTGCACTGGCTGGAGGTAGTTTTTGATCTAATACTGAAAGAGTTAAGAGGAATGACAGGTTGTAAAGGATTTCCAGAATGAAGTTGTTTTCATGTGAAAAAACTGCTGGCATAAGCTAGGCAATACATATTTCTTTGTGCAGTCATAGCTAAAATAATGGTTGAAGAAAATTTAGCATAGTTTCAGATGGGATTTCTGAAGAAGGACAAATTTCAAGGTCAAAGAATAGATGTTCCTTCAATTGATTTCAAAGTATTAAGACATGGAACAAGTATTTTTGATCCACAATGGATAAAAGAAGTCCTTATGTCAATAATATTGTGCAGAGAGTTTGCAAGTCATAAGCACTGCCTGAATGTAGCTAGATACATGTTTAGGAAAAGATGAGTTCCAGATGAAGAGCTTGAGCAACTGGCAAGATAAGAAAGTTTTCAAAAGACATCAAGGCTATATATACAGAGAATGGAAGTCAGAGGAAGATTAAGGGTATTGTTTTAATATACTAAGCTTGACATTTCAATGTCTGTCTGGAAACTTTCAGAGAGAATTCAGAGATTTCCATTTGGATAGTAGAAGCTTTTGACAGACAGCTATGTAAATGATAAGCACAAACTAATTAAATTTATATTTGGGAAAGAAATAGCCTAGGAAGAAAGAATGATGCAAATTTCAATATGTCACATTGAAAAGTGGGGCTGGGGAGATGGAGAATGAAGACGACCTGAAAAAGGGAACACTGGGAAGAAGCAAAGCAGAAGAAAATCTCCAGAAGACAGCCAATGTCAGCTGCTTCAAAGACAAGTGACAGCACAGAGGATGAAGCTGGAATTTAGGCTTTGACGTGTTGTTCAGAAGCAGTAAAGATCATAGATTCTATATAAGATAGGCTTCTTCACTTAATTCACAACATAGGTGTACCGCTATGACTTACAAATGGTCTTCATTTTACTTAACTGTGAAACATGATAAAAGTAAAGGCCAATTCACTCTGTCACAAAGTTTTCAGTTTAAGATCTATGAAGACTCCATGCACCAATCCAAAAGGGGTAAAATAAAATCTTCCTCCAGAGTTTCTGAGCAACAATAAAGAATAATGAAGAGCATTAAACTGTTGGGACTATACATATACACATATACATTACATATATACATATATTTACATAAATGTATTTTAACTGTCTGCATAGGCTGTATTTGGTGCTCAGATAATTGAGACACATGTTTTGGATTTTGCCATTGCAGCAATATGCTATTTATTAACATAAAGAAAAAAGCACAAAGACAGAGGCAACTAAAACTGTTCTTCACTGGGTATCAAGGGCAAGAATAAAATTGGTAGATTAGGAAAAAACAACTAAACTGCTAGATACATTTGCAAGTCTCCTTAGACTGCAATTTAAGCAATTTTTCCAGAGTATGGATGGGGTAGGAAGGCAGCAGAAAAGAAGTTGTGTAAATGACACAGCCAGCATGATGGACCATGGAAAGGATCCTTTTAGCAAGATGACCCTTTTTTTTGGCACAGCTACAACCTTCATTTTCTGTAGTGTATAGCAGTTAAGCTGGTAGTGTTCCCGTATGATGCACAAAGGGGAGAAGACCTGCATAGTGTGAGAATAGACTACTAGGCAGAATTCACCTTGTCTAACTTTAAAGATCTAATTATCTTTGAGTCTCTCTAGCATCTGTTTGAAGTCAACAGGGAGAAGCAGGCACCTCCAGAATGGAGTGAACTGACCTGATATATATGTGCCTTAAAATAAGGTGGTTATTTCTCTTCTTTGACTATAAAGGAAGCTGAGACTGATTATTTTACCAGTAAGTTCCTAGGTTAGGGCAAATAAGTCTGGCTTTTTAGTAATAATTCCTTTAATATCTTGGCTTTTTGTAATTTTGGTGGTGAATACTCAGCATGGTGGCAAAATTCAGCAGACTTTGGGGAGAGGCAGACATCATGTTTCACTGGTAATGTATAAAAAGCTCAAATAACTCTCACCACATTATTGTTATGCATTATTTACTTGAGTAGGTGTTAAACACTAATTGTATTCACCATTTACACAGTGATACAGATATTTCTTGCAGATAAAATCTCTTTCTGATATGGCAAGAATCCCACAGGTCTATAAGGCACAGGGGATACTGCTCTGTGCATGCAGAGTGTCTTGGTCTTCCCAGTACTCATCTGTTCACCTATTCATTAAGTAGTTTAGGTTGGAAGGACCTTTAAAGGTCATGTATTCCAGCCCTCTCCTGCAATGAGCAGGGATATATTCAAGTAGACCAGGTTGCTCAGAGACCTGTCCAGCCTGGCCTTGAGTGTTCCCAGAGATAGGGCATCTACCACCTCTCTAAGCAACCTGCTCCAGTGTTTCACCACCCTCTTTGTAAAAAAATCTTCCTTATATATAATTTGAATCTACCCTTCTTTAATTTAAAACCACTATCCCTTGTCCTATCGGAACAGGTCCTACTAAAAGTTTGTCCCCATCTTTCTTATAAGCCCCCTTTAAGTACTGAAAAGCCACAATAAAGGTCTCCTCTAAGCCATCTCTTCTGCAGGCTGAAAACCAAACTCTCTCTGCCTTTCCTCTGAAGAAAAGCCATAAGTCAGACCTCTGAATGGAAAAGATTCAGTGGTTGGCAATGGAGAGTTTCCATGTTCTCATATTCATCTGAAATAACACAGGTATATCTCCTGCAAACTGGGCAAAGAGAATAGGTCCAGGAAATGTTTTCAAGTGGTTTTCAAACAGTGCTTTGTGACTTTCATTGCAAATTCTCGCTGTTAACAGCAGATGCTTCAAGACCCTGCAAAATGAAACCCTACCCTGACTCTCTTCTGTTTTCAATTGAACTGGAATGAATTGTTCTATTCTGGCATTGAAATCAAAACAGCCTAAATTACAGTAATTTGTATCTTTGTGTGAGTCATTATATACTCTAAGATGGCACATTACTCAGGCCTTCACTGAGTGTCTAAACCTGCTGGCTTCTTCAGGCCAAAGCTTTCCGGTAAGTGAGCTGGGGCTCTGCTCTGTGGAGAGCTCACCCCACACCCTGGCACAGAGCACACTGTGTGCTCTCTAGTCCCAGACACAAGGAGGTCCTCTGGTTCTGTGGTGTGGGAAGTACACAGTACCACTGGCAATGAGAAAACATCTTCCAGTGCTGAGCCCTTGATGTTAATTGTTTGAGCAGCTCCTGGTTGCTTATGCAGAATCTGCCAGGCTGCAATCTGCCACAGCGAGGAGGCAGCCCCAAAGGAAACGGTAACGTGTGGAGCATGTGTCCCCTGGGAAATGGGATTTGGTCACTGCTCTTCCTCCAATGCCTGCTCCAGCTGTTTTTTCATTTCATTCTGCTGCAGTGGCATTTAACCATTTCTCACTCTCACTTGCCCACACCCTAGTGGGGAGGAATGCAAGGAGAGGAGGAATGAATCCCAGTTGTGCTCTGTAGCACAACTAATGTTGTGCTGGGACTTTCTGGGGCTGCTGGGGGTAATATATCAAGGATTAAGAGGGAAAGTGTATTGCGTTTATGTGGCAAGGTTCTGGTGGTGGTTGGGCTGCAGGGGTCACTTCTGTGTGAAATGACCAGTGCTGACCTCGTGTTAGACACAGCCAGTTCTAAGGCAGACCCACTGCTACTCATCACTGATGCTGGTAATGCCAATGTGATAACGTATTTAAGACAGGGTAAAAGAGGCTGTACAGCAGCTGAGAGAAAGAGGAGTGAGAAAATACGAGAGAAACAGCTCTGCAAACACCAAGGTCCATGAAGAAGGAGGGGAAGAGGAACTCCAGCCACCAAAGCAGAGATTCTCCTGCAGACTGTGGTGCAGACCATGTTGAGGCAGGCTGTCCTGTTGTAGCCTACAGAGATCCACAGTGGAGCAGATATCCACACTGCAGCCTGTAGAGGACCCACATTCGAGTAGGTGGATATGCCGTGAAGGAAGCTGCAGCCTGCAGGAGCTGAAGTCCATGCAGGAGCAAGTCTTCTGGCAGGAATCATGGCCCATGGGGACCCACAATGAAGAAGTCCATTGCTAAAGGACTGTACCCCATGGAAAGGACCCATGCTGGAGCAGCTCTTGGAGAACTGTGGCCTGTTAGAAGTCCCCATGTTGGAGAAGTTCATGATGAGCTGCATTGTGTGGAAGGAAGCCCATGCCAGGGCAGGAGAAGAGAGTGAGGATGAAGTAGTGTTAGAGATGATCTGCGATGAACTGACTGCAACCCCCATTCCCCATCCCTGTGTGCTACCTGGGGGGAGGAGGCAGAAGAACTGGAAGTGGAGTCTGAGGAGATGGGATGGGGGAAAATGTTTTTGTCTTTACTTTTATTTCTCAGTATCCTACTTTTACAATTGACTGTCAATAAATTACATTAATGTTCCCCAAGCTGAGTCTGTTCTGCCTATAGCATTAATTGTGGAGTGATCTCCCTGTCCTTATCTCAGTCCACAAGCTTTTAATCTTATTTGATCATCCCATCTTACTGACAAAGTGGAGTGAGGGACTGGCTTGGTGGGCACCTGGCAGTCAGCTGAAGTTAACTGACCACAGAGAGAAATGAAGATCCAATCACTACTATTTTGAGAGGAAAATATGTTAGCAGCACCTTGAGAAAAAAATTACCTGTAAGATAATCAAGGCATTCCAACAATTTCTTCTCCCTGGTAAAATCAAGTGCGAAGGTATCGAAAGTGTCGTTGAGATTAATTTCAGGAATTAGAACCTGGGAGGATGCAGTTGCCATGGAAACCCTACAATGAAAAGAAGATGTCTTTCAGCATTCAAGACAATAACTTCTACATCAAGGTAGGACCTGACCATTATGATTGCTGTCACTTCTCAAGAAGCTTGACAAAAAACTTTTACATGTATTTTATTTCTATGGTTGAAGTTAGGAGCTTCCCCTGCAGTTTATTTTTGCAAGAAGTATCTCCAGGAAAAATCTCTTACTACTCAGCTTTTGCATAACATGTAGTGTCCTATCAGTTTTTAACAAAATACTGATAAAGCAGCAATATACCTTGAATTGTCCCCTTGTAGTCACCCACTGAAACAAAGTAGAACCATTTTCATATGTGTTTTAAGCAATCCTGAAAGATTCTGAATCTCTCCCAACCCTTATTTTCCCAAGCAGCTTTTTGCTCCAGGCATTCCTTGGCACTCCTGTCCCAAAGGCAGATCCCTGCACCTCCTCAGTTGTTCATCACAGCACATTGCTGTTAACTTCAAAAGCACGGGGGACACATAAAACAAGCAGATGTCATCACAGTTTATTTTGAAAGGCTTTTCCCTGTAAAGCATGTGTGCATACTAACATTTCCTCCAAAATTGAAGTTTCCTTCCCCATTTAATTTCAGGAGCGACATTGACTTTTTGTCTGTCCAGCTGTATGAATTTAAAGAGACGAGCTTTCACAAGAAAACAGCCACCAGGATGGATTGATTTTTCAGCTCCTTCAGCTTGGTATCTCAAAATAGATGTTACTGGAGAGCTGGATACTGGATATGCTTACAGCAAGTTTGGTCCATTTAAGCAAAGAGATTATCAGACCTCATGTTATACCACAGAACTTTGTTCCAGTTTGGAGGTAAACATACAACCATGCACACAATCCATATCCATTTTCTGTCACTCATGACACAACAGATCAAAATATTTTGATTGCTTCAATTAACATTTTCCCAAATTACAGTATTTCTCTGCAGACAGGGCTCAAATTTGGGTACCAGGCCAAAGAGCTACCAAGAGCTATGTTGTCATATCTTTCATGTGTAGTATTTCAGGAAAATACAGTTAGGAAAATAAAAAACTGAGCTGCACATCTCATTGTCTTCAGCATAGTTTTCAAAAACACTGCTGAGGAGGTTTGCTAGTCAATAATTCTTGTTATACAGTTTTCAGCACTGCTCTCTGGCAGCTGTGGTTGTAGAACTTCGTTTGAAGTAGATCCTAGTACAGATAAAATATCTTGGTTGGGTATTTTTAGAGAGAATAATTAAAGTACTTTTTTGCCCCATGTATTTAGAGGGAAAAATACCTTGAACTCTTTCACGTCTTCGTTTGTTTTTTTTTTTCTCCCCCATCCCCCAGTAGTTTTTCTGCAATTACACTATGGCATTTTTACATCTAGTAGGAAAAAAAACACATCCATTTCTTGCAGGCAAAAGTTTGTCTTGGGGCAAACTCAGGGCGATGTACACCTCTGCAAAATTAGGAAAAGCCTTACTGACAAGCCAGCATTAAGGTATCTAAGATTAAGGGCTTCTTTGTATATGTCCATAAAGCACATATGGAGTGTGTGAAGAAGACCATATCACCAGGCCCTTTTGGACTGGTTTTTGGGGCTACACAAAAGGTGCACTGTGAGTACATGTGTTAAAGCCAGTTTTTGGTGAGCTCAAGAGCTTGCAGTTTCAGGCACCATGTCACCATGTTAGGTTTAGAGGACTGAATTTCCTCTTGTAATTCTGCCTGCTCTATCTGACACTGTACTTGGTTGGAAATCGTTTTTATAGGATAAATGTGTTTCACCCACTGTAAATAATGCACAACCTAAATCACTGTAGTGTATGTAACGTCTTTGCTTACACAGTTACCTGTTGGGCTTACAACAGAGAATATTACGCTGCAGTTACTTTGAAATATGTGAATGAAGAAATGCAATGAGCATAATTTCAGGAGACTGTTTTAGCTGCTGGAGCTCAGGCCCTGGAGAGACTGTTATATAAGCACTCTAGAAGCAAACAAAATATTGCTCACTACATGACAACTCAGAGAATTACATGTGGGGAATAATTTATTAATCAGACTTCGTCTCTTTTTCCTCTTGCAATTTGTCTACAAGCACTTGGTTTCAACCCCCCCCCCCCCCCCCCCAGTTTTATCCACTGCTTGATATGATTCTTTGAATTTCAAGGTTTTCACAGCCATCTCATTACAGACAGCAATCTGTGAAAGTCAAGAATTAGATTTGATTGGGCACATATGTCAGCTGGTCTCATGTCTGTACTCTGAGTATCTCTCCTGTGACTGTATTTATGATGCAATTGTTCATGTTTACAAGTTCAAAATGGAGCTTCTTTTTATATTCTCCAATAGTGAGTTACAAAGCTTCGTGTTTCTGCATATTTCTGTTCCCCTGAATATTGAAAAAGGACAGACTCCCACCTTCATCTTTTTACTTATCATACTCACATGGTAGTTTTACTGTCAGCTTCAGTTGGGATGTCACAACGTACCTTGGTGACAGAATATAAACCAAGATCTAAATCTGACAGATCACATGTGATCCATGGCCTTGCCTTGTCTTCCCTTCCTTTGCTATGCTTTTCTCAACAGATTTTCAATTTTCTGAATCTGTAATGAGCAACACAGTGTTGCTGGCTTATTTATAAATTTTATTAAATAGCTTTGTTGAAACCCTATATTCAGAGAATCTGCATACAGCACTCCAGAGTAAGTGACAGAAGACAAATAATAAAAGCAGGGAATTTCATGCTTCAAATTCATTGAAAACTGGCTGGACAATGCGAAGATATAATGTGAACCCAGAGATTAAAAAAACAGCTGAATGAATGAGCACAATTTTCATAGCTTTTTCTTCATTGTCCAGATACATTCTCTTTTTTTTTTTTTTTTTCCTGACTTGTGGCTGAACAGGCTGAGAATTCCAACAGACCATTTTTTCTTCAGAAAATGCTGCTGAAATTCAGTGTAATGTTTCAGCCTTTACAACACTGCACTGAAAAAACAGACCAAATTTTCTGAAGCACAGAAAGACTTACTCCTGGAAAGACTTGCTCCCTTGTTTTCACTCCTTGATATATCTGGCATGCTGGAGAGGAGCTAGGATCCTAGAAGCACCCACAGACTCAACACAGCAGCTGCCCTAAGCTTCCAGACACTCAGGCTGTTGAATCTCCAACTGTTTGAGTGGGCTACCTCAGAGAGGCATGTTTCAGGTTCCTAACGTTACACATTTCATTACCTCGCCACTCATTATTTTGTGAAGAATATGAATCCATTAAGATAATTGAGAATTTCTTCTAAGGAATGTACTTGCTGACTGATTTCAGCTTCCAGAAACCTCTTTTTTTTTGTTGTGTGTTTAGCAGCAGACATCTGCTTGGCAGCCTCCTTCCTTTGTACATGCTAGTACTGTTCAGACTCATTTCGCAACCTTCTTTGACTGATCCTCTTTTCAAAGAAATGTTCTGATTTAACAGTACAGTAAGGTCCTTCCCACTCTGGTGCAGCACAAAGTAGTGTTTTGAGGGAATGTGTCAATTAATCTTCTGCCTTTGACCACATCTGTGGTAGGACAAGACAATACAGCAACTATGACAACCTGTCTGCTTTAAACTGAGGTTTTTCTATTTATTGAAAGGACACCTTCTTTACCTTTCAGTGATATTTTTAGCAGTTTGCAGGAAGCGAGCATGATCATTCTCCTTCAGTGACTGTTCAGCCTGAGAGATGAGGGATGTCGAGCGCTCAATGCACTGTTTGCAGTTCGCAATCTGCTGAGCCAGTTTTCTCAACCTCACCACCTTTAGTGGAAACATAAGAAAACAGTCACATCTCTAAAGTCACAAATCATAATTGCATTTGCACTGCCGAGGCAAAGCTGGAATGCAAAGGGGAATTAAGATGAATGGCTTCGCTGACAGGAGCTTCTTTCACACTAGCTTGATGGTGAGCCCCATGTAGCCACGTAACATTTTTAATAAAGGGACAGGCGCACCCTTTCTGCCTCAAATTTTCCACATGGAAAACAGGGGAGAGCCAAAACAAGCACAGCTGGCCTACTTTTCTACAGAAGAAACGTCATTTCCTTTTACTTTCTGCTTACATGATAACCAAGGGCTATTCAGATAACCATTTCCCTGAAGTGATGAGATCTGTATTAGAGGCATCTTATAGATTAACTACTTCTTTTTCTTTTTCTTTTTTCCTGTTACTGAGGTTTCATAAAAAATAATCTGAAAATAAATTTGACAGAAAAAGATTCTTCAATTCTACCAGCAATACATGTCTGTCCTTCTCATTATGTGCTTTTAATCAAACAGGGTGTTTCTTGTTGGATATTTTTAACTGGACAAAAGCACGGTAGTGCTGGAGAGCTAGCTGATTATTATTACTGCAAACACATGTGCTGAAGACAAACACAGTAGATGTGACTGCAGTCATTAGCTGAAAGGTTAGGGAGGGGCACAGCCAATCCTCTATTTAAAGACAATGCTGGCTAGCAAAACTTCTAGTTCCTGAAAGGTCTGGGAGTTTCTCCCATTGTTAATCACATTGGGATCATAGTTTGAACAGGAGTAAGAAATAGGAAGGAAATGAAATAATTCTGGTGTTTAGAAAGACATTAAGACGCAGTTACATGCAAAATGAGAAAACTAACAACCGAGTGGATTGGCAGAAATATCTAAATTTATAATCCAGATAACATTTCCAATCTCAGCAGTTACAGCTCTAGCTATGAAGTTGCTGAGTTGAATTTCAGATGTAATTGCATCCTAGGCAGAGATAAGGGTATCTTAGTGCACCTACCCAACAGCAGAAACCAGTAGGAAGATAAACCTTTTGGAATATTTTCAAAAAGAAAACACTGGCTGATTACTGTCTTGTCACACTGGTATTTCCTCTATATATGGAACAATAAAGGGAGAAAAATGCTGGGAAAGCATAAAGATTTTGATAATCCTAATATTCTGATAAGCTTCTAGGATGAACTAATGCCATAATGTTTTCTCTAACTGCATTTGCAGAGATTACTATTTGGCCTACACAAGTCTAATAAGGGAAAAGTTCATTGCAGTATTAAGTAGCTCACCTCTTTACTTACTTATTGATTAACAAAGCAATAAACTGAAATAAATGCTATCTTGCGAGCGTTTACCAATTAGAAGGCATGCCATAATTTGTGGGGTCTATATATAAACAATGTTTTTTGTTTGTTTGATTCTTGTTTCTATCTTCTTCAAGAAGTCTAGTGATGATAAACTTTAAAAGGAAGAGTCTCATCTCACCAACTCCCCACCCACTCTCCCAATAACAGGAATGATGTCTGCACCAAAATTATCTATCTATTTGATATTATTTGTTTGTTTGTTTTCCCTGTTACATGCTCTGTGAAAATTTATAGGTTTTGGGTGATAGGTGAGATTAAGGATGGAGCTGCGTCACACTGTCAGACTCCTGTCTGAATCTGCAGCTTTGGAGGCATAGATAGGACTTTATACCTGATCATTTCCAGCTCTGTATCCATAACTGTAGTCCTAAAGACAAATTTGTCATGCCCTACCTTCCAGAAAGACTCTTAGTCACGGGCCCCTTTAAAAAGATACATTGGGCATAATTTCCTGTGGCTTTTCACATGGGTCTTTTGAATACCTGTAACTTTCAACATAGGTAACATTTGGAGCAAAGCATTCCAGAACTTTACTGGACCTTCACTGATGCCACCTTTGGTTGAACACGGTAGAAGAAAGAATAGGGATAGATTCTGATAACAGCTATATTCAAATAAATTTGGAGTCAATTGTATTAAAATTTTCCATACTCTAATGGACATTAGAACACATCTTTGCAAGCAATAGATTTTTTAAAAGCAACTCATGCATATAGAACAAATCCAAATTAGTAGAAAGTTTTCTGCTTCATTGGAAGCACAGCTGGTCTCACTGCACAGAGAAAGAGAACTGAAACAATAATGCAGAAGGCTATCTTTTCCATTTTGAAGGGAATTATGTTTTGTTAACAGCATAAGTAAATTCAGGTTCTGTCACACAGCATACAGTACCTGTGGTTTCAAATGTGCTTAAGTCAGCCCTTGCCTACAGGCTTTTCATTTCAAGTTAATTGGAATATCTTGACAGCCGCATGAACCATTTAACCTGCTCTTGACTTTATTCCTTTCCTGAGCTTTTCCCACACAAGAAGAGTTTATATTTGACTTAGTTAGTTTAGCAGTTAAAGAGTAAACGCAATGAAGCTAGAAAATAAGGACATTAATTCAACTCTAATGTGTTTCTGAGTTAACAGGTAGCTAACAACATGTGTTGAAACTTGAATATTAGAGATATTTCCTGTTCAATACATTTGTCGCTAATAATTGTAACTCAGTAATTAGAAATGCATCCTTCATTGCACCCCTGCATATTTTTGAATAACTTTTTTTTTGTAAATAAGTTAGACTTCCTATTCTTAAGAATGACAACGATTGAAAAAAAAATTATAATATTTTAACAAATAAAGTATCTACACTAGAATATTCATGTAGATAATTGCCAGCCATGATACCAACTGTTGTGACACACTGTGAAAATGAAAACTTTGGAGGAAACACTTTCAGCCATGTAACAGAGTGAAGAAATCATTAATTAGTCATCATTCTATTATCTTTTACTGATGGTGACATAATTTCTGTATTTACCCTTAAAAATCATAATCACATTTAGTAAGATAAATGCCAAACAAAGTGTTGAGGTCTAGGATACCAATCCTGATATATTTCATTCCTCTTTCCATGAAAGCAGCAGTACCCAGGACCACATAAGGACTTTTACAAATTTGTGTTAGTAGTGCCTGAGGTCAAAAATCCGTAAATATGAGGAAGCAGTATTGACCTACTTATGGTCTAAAGAATAAAAGCTTTTACCTTTCCTTCCTTGATTTTGGTTCCAATTATTTGTCGCCTTTGCTGGATTATTTCAATGAGCTGGTCACATTCTTCCATCAACTTGGTTTCTTGGCGGGATGCATTTACCTGCAAAGCAAGCCATTATGATTAGGAAAATCTTTAACATATTCCTTTTCCCAGTTTAAAACCTGTCATTTCTAAATGTTAGGTTTGACTTTTTTTTTTTTTTTTCCTCCTTTATGTGTGTAATCTCTATGTTATTCTTCTTTTCCCTGTCCTGGATTTTGTGAAACACTGAAATAAGTCTAAATGTCTTGTTTGTAGGAGATAAGACTTGCAAATAGATACTTCTCAGGTATTTCTAACTCAAGTGAGAAAATCTGGTCCTATGAGTACTGAGTGATGTCAGTTACAGTGGGCATCAGTGAGAAGTGAAGGCTCTTCAGGAGCTGCTTAACATAGCAGTTGTTTCAAGCCGTATATAGGACTGCAGTGAATATTAATACACGTAAGAGCAAAAGTACTGCATCAGACAGTCCATCTAGTGAAGTATGCTGTTTCTCACTGTAAGTGCTAGCATCTGCTAGTAAAGCATCTTAGGAAGAAGTCCCAACATATGTGATGACTCCTGTGATTATTTTCTCATCCTCTATCCTTTTGGAGCTCAGTTTTCCTGAACCAGACACAATTTCTACATCATTACTAATCCTCAGAAGAGTCATATTCTGTGGATTTTTTTAGTCTCTTCTTCAATCCCTGAAAACTCGAAGTATGCCCCCCATCCTACAGCAATGTGCACCAGAGCTTAACTAGCAGTGAAGTGAACAACTGCCTCCCCTAGAGGGATTTGAACCTGTCTCCTTCCAGCTGCATGTAATAATCCCAAGTATTTTTACTGGAAAGGACAGTGAACTACTGACACCTATGCACAATCTGTGTGCTGCTTGTGCTTTTATAGATCACTATAAAAGAAGACCTCTTACATTGAAAACCCTTAAGTGATTCAGTTTTTCCTTGTATGAAAGTTGTACCATCCTTGTTTTAAATCATCCTTGTTTTTATTCTCTGAAACTTTGCCAGATCTATCATGTCCTTTTTGATATGGGGAACAGAACTATACTAAGTATTCAAGGTGCAAACTATGGAGTTATATAGTAGCACAACAGGTTCTCTACTTCATCTTGGTTACTTTTGTAATGGTTCCTAATGTTTGATTTGCTGAATTTACACTTGAAAATACTGTTTATTTTCATTGTCCATACAGTGGTTCCTGACAGATTCAAATTACCAAAGAGCCAAATGACATTACCACGTTGTGTGTATTGACTCATTATTACCACTTTGCCTCAGATAGATAGAAAATAATAGCTGTACTACTCATGTAGTTTCTTACAGTATAAATATATGAGCCAGTGAAACTTTTTAATGCAAAAAAACTCACAAAGTACATTAGCTTTCTATGGAAAATATGGACCTTTGTGGAAAACTTAAAATGGAAAAGTTTTGGTTCTCAGCTGAAAATGTTTTGTTTCTGGGGAAGATTGATTTTTTTCCCAGTGAAAAGCCAACATTCTATATGACAAGAAAAATGTACTTCCCCACCAGCAATACTATGTATATCTTACATGTATGTACAATGAGTCAGCAAAAAAGGCAAAAAGTTCTGATCATAGAATAAAGAGAAATTTAAAGAGGTGATTTCAGAGCTGTTTCCATTTGCACTTTGCGAGAAGGTGGACAGCCTTCATTCCTGCATCCATGACCAATTGCTCCTAGGGCAATGTCACCTTTTATTTTTACCTAGTAAGAGCTAGTGGTGAACTACAGCACGGAATAGTTCCAGGTGGCAAGTAACCATATAGTAACTATATTTCTCCCCTTGGTTATTTTTCAGTCCAATGGGGGTCCCTTGATCAGCCTCAGCCTCTGTTTTTCCTTTTCTTCCAACGTGTTTAAACATGCATTTACCTGTAAGCACATCATGGAGCTCACTAAGATTAAGCGAATGTGTATTTATCAGAATTTGGACCACAGCCAATTTTACAAATACCCATATTATGTGAAATCCCCTGGGCAAAGAGGGAACTTGTACACAAAAGCCTGTTTTCATTAAGGTTTTGGATTATCCTTCTCAAATCTTCATAAAATTAAAGTTGATTGCATATTTTGCAGGCTTAACTATTAAGTAAGATATCAGGATTATAAAGAGAAAATAAATTTGATTTTGGAAGGGATCAGATGGCTCTGAAAGTGCTGGGGAGATCTGCAGATAGTAAGCAAAGATGTAGCAAGTACTTCCACAATGCAGTTTTAGGTGCCTATTTATCTCCTTGCATTAACTCTTTGCTCTACCTGACTTCCCACCATGGTCCATAAGGAGAGACAGACCATGAATCATCTCACCCAAAGCCTCTGGCAGTGCCTGTGTCTCCCCACTGACCACTCAAGGATCTTAGAAGTCAGTCATCACTGTCCCTCCTATTCCTCCTCTCCTAGTCATCCCAGCACTCTGGGATCTCATCTCGTCATCACACCCTCCTGTCATGAACCATATTCTGGCATGAAACTCTGCAGAGCTGTTTTCAACATGCCGTCCAGCGCACCAGTTTCCCCAGCCCTGACTCCAGTTTCACTTGCAGACTAAATTCCACCAAGAATCAGGGAATCCCAAATGGGCTCAGTCAGGGGCAGCGATTATACCCACTGTACATGGGTGTAACTCCGTCTGTGTCAATATTGAGGTCTGCTCCCACCAGAGCCAATTTTGGCACTTAATTACAGTAACACTTCAGAGGTTTTTTGAGTAGCTTCCACTCAAAGTGTTACTTCTGTCACCATTTACATCACCAATTCATTTTGTTGAGCACATCTAATTAATCTTTGGGGCAACTGTCATGAAACATACAGAAAGGTTAAATCAACATTATTTCATTTAATGTTCTGATTGGCTTGAATAATAGCATATTAATTAAATAGTAAAACCTTCTAAGAAAAAAACACATGGAAAAAACCGTTGGATTTCTTATGCACTGACTGCAGACTTCTCTTTTCTTTGAAATCTAAAACGTTTACTCTTTTATAAACTTAGTTTGAAGACATTTCCAATGTTATTACTCGCACAAGCTTATTAAAAGTGAAAAGAATATTCCAAAATTATTTGATAGGTCTGAGCTTTATATGAAAACCCCCACTTTTAATCTGGGGGCTTTTCTCAAGTTGAAACACTCCTTAATCAAATTTTCAGCCTACAAGGCCTCTGATTCAGTAATAACTTTATAACTGAGTGCATGCCTAGCTTTAAGTGCACCCTATTAGCTGTGGCCCTAAAAGGACTATTTGTGAGATTACCATTGGATATTGTTTACTTGTATGTTTCTGAGGAGTCAGATGTCAGACCAAAAAGCCACAGGCACGGAGCAGGGCTTGGCTGTACAGGTGCTACAGAAATACCAGAATAAAGCTCTGCCTTCTGCTTGAGTCCTTTGATGAACAGCAACCTTGACAATAACTTCCAGCTGGGGCTGGCCAAGGAATGCAAGTTCTGTCTGGTGAAAATATTTGAGGTTTTACATTCTACATTTTTCCACATTAAAAGCAAACCCGCTTTCCAAGGAGTTCATTAAAAGTCTGGAGGCTGCGCTGCTCATTTTGGTTGTGGGAAGCTCTGAACCATACAGAGCAGACTTCATCTGGGCTTCCTCCATCCCAGATGAATGCTGACTCTTTAATCTGAGATATCTATTGCTTGAGAGTTTATGCTAGACTTCAGGACATCTTTCTGTAACAAAATTTAATGATATGAATACACTTAGTTTTGGAATCAACCAATTCCTTAAAATCCATGTACAGAACTACTTCAAACCTGAAGCTTTGTGTTTTGTAGTATCACTTTTATAAACTTCTCTTCAGTCAGTTTTAAAGCTGACTAGGAGGCCTTGTTATGATTTAGCAAAAATTATGACTTCTCTACTACAAACAAGAAAGCAAGGACTGATTCTAGTCCTGCTGCTTTTGTGGTGAATTTATTCCTGTTTCTGTAATATCTGAAGACCTCAAACAGTTTACTGAAAAAAACAAAGAAGTAAAACTGTTCAGGGCTCTCTCCAGGTTTTCTAGACAGATGGATAGGTGCTGCTGGCCCTTGCCTCAGGGAGTGGGTGTAGAAGAAAAAGAAAAATGGGGGTTCCTCAGATGTCTGACAGGGAGCTGGATACAAGCCCTCCTGACCTGAAGGGGAGGGACAGGCCAGTTGTTCTGAGCTTCACGAGCTGAGAACTGCTTTGGAAAGTGTTCTGCTCTCTACAGAGACTTCCTTGGCTTTCATCTTCAGAGACCTGAGTTAAATTGCAGCTTAGGTCATAAGAAAATGAATGTGGTGGTTTCGAAGTCCCCAGCAGATGTTTGGGAAAGCACAGAACTACAATATGGCTGGATGTTCAAGGTTACAGTGGAGCTTGTGTGAGAGGGCTAGATTCATTCCCATGAACACTTTCTCAAATAATATACTGGAATCAAAGGATCTTTTAGTGAATTTTCCTTGCAGGAGCAAAACTCTGCCTCTGAGATTCTTTATAGGTGAGGCAATTTTCTCTGCCAGTGGAAATGAACATGTGTCAAAAAGGCAAATAATCTCTAAAAGTCAAGCAAAATAAGATACCCAAAATTAGGGTGGGAAGCTTTTTAAAGACTCCACTCTCTGGCATAATTTCATAAAAACTAGAGTGATTTTTATTCATTAGTCCTCTGCTGGTTACGCAAAATGGAAGAAAGTAGGTTGTGAACTTTGGAAAGTGAGGTATGAATTTGAGTCTCAGCTTTACTATTTAAAAATGGTCTCAGTCCCTCAAAAATAATTTCTTCACAGCTGTGGCTATACAGGTTAAGGATGAGATATCAGCTTTATTTTATGGGTTAAATTTCATGGTTATAGAATTACTATATACTCACAAATAAATAAAACTATCAGAAAAGCAAATTGCAATGATTTCACTTAATTATCATAACCTCATTGCCACATGGTTCACTCTAGCTTTTGAGCCTGAATTCCTTCTTATACCAAAACCAAAACCAGAAAAAAATCCAAAACCAAACAAAAAACCAACCTAAAGTGATGACATATAATGGCC